TTCAAGTGATTCTCCTGCCTCAGCCTCCCGAATAGCTGGGATTATAGGTGCCTGCCATCACATCTGGCTAATTTTGTTGTTGTTGTTGTTGTTGTCATCATATTTTCAGTAGAGACAGGCTTTCACCGTGGTGGCCAGGCTGGTCTCGAACTCCTGACCTCAAGTGATCTGCCCGTCTCAGCCTCCCAAAGTGCTGGGATTACAGGCATGAGCCACTGTGCCTGGCCGGTTTATGTAATTTTTTTTGTGTTTTAAATTGTGGTAAAATACACATAACATGAAATTGACCGTACTCACCATTTCTAAGGTACAGTTTGGTGTTGAGTGCATTCACATTGATCCACAGAACTCTTCTTATTTTGCAAAACTGAAACTCTGTCCCTATTAAACATGGATGCACTGTCTCCCTGTCGCCCCCTCACCCCAGCCTCCAGCGACCACCACTCTACTTTCTGTCTCTGTGAATCTGCTCTGGGTACCTTGTATCAGTGAAATCGTACAATATCTGTTCTTGTGTGTCTAGCTGATTTCACTGAGCACCACATCCGTCAAGGTTCATCCATGTATAGCATGCATCAGACTGTCCCTCCTCTGAAAGCAGAAGAATGCTCCCTTGTATGATAGACCACATTTTGCTTACCTGTTCTTCCACAGACACGTGGCTGCTTCCACCTTTTGGCTATTGCAGATGATGCAGCTGTGAACCTAAGGGCACAAATGTGGGGAGGGGTATTTTGTTTTAATCACACAAGTGTGTCAGTCAGTGTAGAGACGTCCAACCTTGACTACTGAAGGAGCAAGAGAATGTGTTATAAATTATTCTGTTTTGTGTAAGTTTATATTTTGTCGATGAATGAGATCAGTAGCGTTACTAGAATGGAATTATGATGAGGAGCAGGAGGGACACTGTGCTAAGGGATTGACCAGCGTTTACTTATTTAATCCAACAGCCTGTGGCATGGGCTCTCTCAGGAACCCCATTTTACGGACAAGGAAACTGAAACTCAGAGAAGTTAAGTGATTTGCCCAGGATCACACAGCTAGTCGCTGTGAATTAAACTCTGTCTCCACTTGCAGGTAACAACTGGGAAAAAACCAGTGAGTCTGCTGCTGGCTCTGGCAGTGTCATCAACTGGTTTTCAACAAAGCACACTCTTACAGTCACTTGGCTGTACATGAATTTTTGAAATTCTTATTTCTACATGCAGTTGCCTCCTGCTTTATTGGCAAAGGGACTGTGGCTATGAGACAGATGCCCCCTGGGCCATGCCCAGGACTCCCGTGCCCAGGACACCCCACAGTGGCCTGGGGGAGTAAGCCGAGCTTCTGTCCCTCCCGGGTTTCCTCATTAGACTCCCTCCCCTCCGGCCTCCGCCGCTGGCCTCACAAAACTGCGCTTGGCTCCCTCTCGGAGCGTTCTTAGATCGAGAGATGTTCGTGTAGGTTTTCTTTGAGCTCTTATTGACGAAGGGTCCTTTGCAGTCCTGAGTGAGGGCAGCCACGTGAACTGAGTTACTCCCTCCTGCGGCTTCCTTTTCCACTTGCCTGATGACCTCGACCTCTGGGGTATAAAAAAGAAAAATGGAGGTAGTGAAGAACGTCTCTCATCAAATCTCATCTCATTTTGGAGTCTAGTTTTTCTTAGAAATGTGTAGCTGTCCTGATTCCTGTATGTTCCTGTCTCTGATTGATTCTCTGAGTCCCTGGAGAGGGCACTGTGTCTTCCCCCATGGTAGAGTTTTCAAGGAATGTTTCGTTTTGGAGGATCGTCCTAATATCGCAAGGCTTAGCTGTTCTTTTCCCAAGAAAGATTTCCCAAATGGAAAAATGTATTTCAGGCTTTGTGGCGGCCATAACCAATAGAGAGGGACGTGACAGCCATTTCAAGAGGGAACGGGGATGGAGGCAGAAGTTAGAGACCCAGACTTGTTTGTAGACATGGCAGTGGCTAGCGTGGGTGTCCTGAAGTTCAAGTGAGCCTGCCCCGCCCAGTCCCGCCCTGCTCTTGACCAGCTGTGGGATCTTGCACAAGTTGCTTCACCTCTCAGAGCCTCAGTTCCCGTTTCTGTAAAATACGAATCCTAACAGTTCCTCCCATGTGGGGTTACTGTAGTATTAAATAGATCATTGTAAGTTGCTTAGCGCAGCATCTGGCACCTGTGATGGCAGCGAGACAAGTCAGCTTTAGAACCAAGCAGAAGAGCATGCTAGCAGCCACCCGCCTCCACTGTGAGCCTTCCCACGGACAGGAAACCTCCCAACACCTCCAGATACCAAGTGGATGCCTTTGCGAATAACTTACCCATGGAATGACATACAAGATAGAAAAACAGAAAGAAACTCTTGGTTGACAAAGTATATTGGCATGCATGCTATGCTCAAGACTGCATGTTCTATGTCATAGCTTTTTCACCAAAGTATAACCCAGGGGCTTGGCACAGTGGCTCACATCTGTAATCCCAGCACTTTGGGAGGCCGGGACGTGAGGATTACTTGAGGCCAGGAGTTCAAGGCCAGCCTGACCGACATGGTAAAACCCCATCTCTACCAAAAATACAAAAAATTTAGCCAGGCATAATGGTACATATCTATAGTCCCAGCTACCCAGGAGGCTGAGGCAGGAGAATTGCTTGAACCCGGGAGGCAGAGGTTGCAATGAGCCAAGATCGCACCCCACACTCCAGCCTAGGCAACAGAGTGAGACTGTCTCCAAAAGAAAAAGCGGCCTAGGGCCGCTACATTGCACAACTCGAGCCACCATTCACGGTAGAGTCCACAAAGATGGCAGTCCCTGGAGTTGTGTGAGGCATAACCTTCAGGGCCACTTGCGGTGTCCCAGAGCCACTGTTGAGCAGTAACATGGAGTCTCTGCCTCAGTGTCAGGCATGGGAAACCCAAGTCACAAAGGCAGATGTGCTTGCTGTGCTGTACCTGCCATTGTGATGTTTGCATGTTGGTGTCTTTAGTGCTTTATGATTTCCAGGAAAGGCACTGTGAGTGAGGGTTGTCCTATGAACAGTGGTGCTGTTCTTATAAATCAGCTAGGTAAGGAAACTTACCGTCGGCCTGTTCTGCCCTCCTCCCATTCCAGCCAGAGCTTCCCACGTGACTTCTGGATGCAGTCCTTTGTCCCTGTTGCAACCTCATGACTCCTGCCTAACCTAAAGAGTGCCCACATGCTCGGCTACCCGCTGCTTTCATGGGGAAGCTCTTCGGGGGTGCAGTGAAGGACACAAAGGCTCTGGAGCATGATACACTCAAGTTCAAACTCCAACTGCAACATAGCCTTTCTGAGCCTCAGTTTCCAACTTTGGCTGGGCAGGAACACTTTAATCACAGGCTCCCTTTCCCCATTTGGAGTTTGTATACAGGCCTTTGGGACCATCCCATCATTGTATAAACTAATGCCCAAAGAGGTTCTGCAACTTTCCCAATATTGCATATCAGTTACTGCCAGAACCAGGATTAAGTCTCCTGAGTCCCAGTC